CCCCCCCCCCCCCCCCGAAACTCAGCCCATCCCGAAAATTCACACACACCCCGAAACGAAATCCTGGCTACGGGCCTGTTGCAACCTACACATGAGCTACCGTTTAGAATGCACCTCTTTTGTTTTCAAACCCAGTATGCTTTTCTGAGCCTCATTCCCACTTTATCTTTTTAATGGCCCTCTCATTTTTACAATCACACTATTGGAAGACTTTGAATGAAATTAGAATTGTAGCCACCTAATGCATTTGCTTCTTCCTTATCTCTTTTGGTAAGACAGTTAAGTGATTGCTAATGACAGATGGTTTTGAATTGTTATGAGATCATTTACTCAGTCTCACTTACCTAGAAGACTAACAGAAAATTATTGTTCACTAGTGGGGACAAGGAAAAGGGCCTTCTCTGTGGTGGCTCCTTGGCTCTGGAACTCGCTCTCCAGAGATATTAGGCAAGCTCCCACTCTGGCAGTCTTTAGGAAGAGCTTGAAAACTTGGCTGTCCCAGTGTGCCTTCAATGAATGAATGAACATTAATTCCCTGACCTGACCAATTTCTACAAAAATGCCATCAGAAGCACTTTATTCCTTGTTAGTGCAATCAAACCCTACCTTATCTTCCGGATCCCACGTCCAGATACACTACATTGCTGTCTCACCCAGTGTTTTATTTTTTTTTATTTTTAATCTATTGGAACTGGCCCTGCCCACTGTTATTGAGTTGTGTGTTTTAATTGTTGCAATTTTATTTGTTTGATGTGTTATTTGTAATGGTTTTTGTATTGCATTTTTATTTCTTGATATTGTATTGCTGTGTTCTGTGTATACTGATGTATTGTATTACTGGGCTTGGCCTCATGTAAGCTGCCTGAGTCCCCTTGGGGAGATGGTGATGGGGTATAAATAAAGTTTTGTTTTATTATTATTTATTGTTGTGGATGGCTGTCCTTATGATTCAAGTTAAATCAAATTTGATTTTTTTTAAAAACAAGGCCACATTTTGTCTGTAAGTCCAAATATAAATGTCAAGATATAATGATAATTTAAGTGTTTGTCCTGAAAATTTGGGCATAATTGGTTCACAATATTGATTTAAGCAGATGTCCTAAAGCACAAAGATTTGTTTTGTTTGTTTTGCTCCTATTAGGCAATAGAGATCTATAGCATCAGAGACACTTTAAACTGCACACACAAATGGTCAAGGTAGTATAAAGGTTTGTTCTTGCACAACTCCGTTCAGGAAATAAGGTTTTCAAAATGTAGAAACCTTATTTAAGATAACAGAGTTCCTAACTGTACTACAGACATTTGACCTCATCACATGTGGAAAAAAAGGGCCCTGGGATGCTTTGGCCCCAGTTCATTCATGGAGCCCCTCACCTCCCATCAGACAACATGGGTTAACTTCTGGTAGGGTTCCATGGGTGAACTAGGGCAGCAGTGCGGTAAGACGCTGCGCCGCCAACACAGTAGCCTCCCCATGATCCATTAGGAACAAATGGGCTACCATGGGATTAAACTGTGTGGCAACACTTCTCCACATGTGATGAGAAAGCATCAGCTGCCAGCTAGGGTGCTGAGATTGCACCGCTGCCGCACCGATTCATGCCGGAAGCTGGAGAATCGCAACACTGGACCTCATCCATGTGATAAGGTCCATTGTCAGGTTTGAGAAATTAGCAATTGCCCAATTCATTTGCAGGTAAAGCAATTCAAATATTTCACTGGGCTTTTGTTCCATTTGTCAATATACAACATAAGCCCCTATTGCATGGACTTTGCCCCCATTGGCTCTTAAACCAATAATTTTTCTAACATCCCCCTCACCCCTTTCTCCCTTGAGACTGTGACAGTAATATTATTTCTGTTTGCAGATAGACAATAAATCTGCTAGGGTGAAATAAGGACTTTGTAGCTAAGAAGTGTTGATTTCAGACTGGCAGTTTTATTGTGTGTCCCAGAAATGCTTTTCTCAGGACACTGGCAAACTACGAAGGAATATTTTTGTGATCATGATTGGTTGTTCATGACTACAAAATCTGAATCTCCAGCCACAATGAGATAGTAAATCCAGTTTAAAATCTCATAACTGCTGAACAGGAAGTAAGCCCCATTCAGTACTTCCTAACATTTCTTGGGTCAAGAGTACTTTCTCACTCTGGTAAAAGTGATGGAGCTCTACTCCAGAAACAAACAAAAAATCACATAAATATATACACACACTGAATTGATTTTATGACATTAAAATCAATTTCCTTAACATAGAACAATCTAGAATAACCTTAAAAGTCAAATTTTCTTTTTCCCTTACTTGTCATTACCACGAGGAAAAAAATCAAAGAAAAAGAGGGGAAAAATTTAGCAATCCAGCATAGCTCACAGTTTAGTTCACAGATTTTGAAGATCAAGTCAGGGGTAGGTGTGATTTTAGCTTTGAATATGTTTTTAATCAGTTTTATGGATTTTTAAGCTGTGATTTTTTTAAAAAGATATCATCACTATTTAATTCTGTTTGTGTATTTATAGATTTTAAATTGCATTGAAATGCTTTTAATGTAAGGAGCTTTGGGTGTTCTTTGTGGAGAGAAATGGGTTATAAATAAGCATAATAAGAAATAATAATAATAACAATAATTCACTGACAATCCTTCCTCAGATCTTTGTTGTATGTTCATACGCAAGTATATATGCATTCCCGTCTGTGTTTCTCCAACAGTGCCTTCTACCATAATAGATTTATCATTACAGAAAGCCTAATGAAGTAAGGAAGACAATGTATCAGTTGAGATAGAAAAAGGGCTATATTGTCTACTTCAGTGGTGATAAGTGAAAGTAAAGAGGGCAAACTGTAATCAATGATCAATAGTTGCCACAATGTCCTCTGACCTCCAGCCAACTAGGATATATAAAATGTTCTAAAATGGATATCCTTTAAGTTTTTAATGGAAATTTATATTAGTGAATGCAATGTTTTATATGTTTTAATGTGCATTTAATTTTATTTTTAATTTTTAACTTAAGTGCATTCTAACTCTTTGTTGTCCAAAGGCATTGAATAGATGCCATATGTAAAGCCACCTTGAGTCCCCTTCAGGAGTTGTCTGTCAGCCTATTCAGCCTGTGATTGTGTTTGATGTTCATGTTGATATTCATGATGGGAACAGGGATGATGCTCATGTTGATGTTCCAAAGGAATGGGGATGTTGATTCAGCTTCTGGGCCAGGGTCTGGGGATGAGAGGCCAGAGAGGCCTGAGTTGCTGCAAGGGCCTGAATGGAGTTTAAAAGAGAGGCCAGAGAGGCCTGAGATGCTGCAAGAGGATTCTCAAGACCCTGAGCTTGGGAAAGGTTTTTTGCTGCAGTTCCCTGGTCATTTATATGAGAATGAAGTTGATTCCAATGTACCAGGTACAGGAGTTAATGAGGAGTGTGAGACCTTGAATAGGAAAAGGATTTTCAGTAAACAGAGACAGTCCGTGCAGCAATTAAGACACTTAGCTAGACTTCAACAGAAGTTAGATAGCAAACTGAAACTGAGAAAGAATCCATTCCTAGCAGTTTTGGAGTCAGGGAAGGGTTTATAAATGATTTGTGAGGGATTATTTGCTTTAATTGAGGCAATGTCGGATTAACGCCAAGTTTCCAGTGCCAAGGTCTGCCTAGCTCATGTTTACCTTATGGAATATACTTCTGTATTGTTCATGGATTTAAGTGCCTAGTTTCATGGATTTTTTTTTTTACTCTTTCTTCCTGTCTTCTTTTGTATCAATTGGATTACTGCTTACTGTGGATTACTTTTTATGGCTTTGGCTATATATATTCCTAAATAAACTGCTTGCTGATTTTACCCAGTTGGTGTGGTGTTTAAAGTCAGAGGTGATTCTGCTCTGGAGTACGACATTGGGATAGAGAAAGACAGGATACAAATAGAGTAAATTAATAAATAATAATAATATTTATTT